CATCACCAGACCAGAAACAGAAGAGCCTCTGATCACCTACAGGTCTGCTGTTTGGAGCCACGTCTGTTAATCTGTCAGTTATGGTGAGAGAGTGGGTGATAAAAACACACCGAGCCAAAGAACGAGCCGCCGCACAGCTACAGACTCATTAGCAGCTAACCCAATAGCACAGTAACATACAGGAAGACAAAGCACAACAGACTCTTGTGAAACAGCAGCACAAACCCTCTGAACCAGGGAACGAGAGCCGCTGCGTGGTTATAGTCTGTCGTTCAGAAGCTAACAGCAGCTAACGTTAGCACAAAGCTCACACCCACAGCAGTGAGCAGTAACTGGTAGCTGATTCATCCAGACAGACTGAGAGGTTCATTAGTGGCGTCTGTTTAGCTTGTGTTTATATGACTGTGTCATTAACATACATGTTTATTCATGTATTAATTAGACTGACAGAGCTCAGAGAGCTGGTGGGACACAGCAGAGTCAGCGCTCACACACAGTGGACAGAGAAATGACACTGATACTATGAGCTCTGATGTCAGTAGTGTCTCTGTCGACTGAATCACTGTTTATTTACAATAACTTCTGGGTAGAAAATCCTCACGTCATGTACTTTAAAATCAAACAGCGCTGAGCAGATGTTGACTCAGTTAGTTTTTACCCACCAAAAAAAGGCCCACCTAAAAAGTCATTATCAGTTTAGAATAATTAGAATATTTTCACAGCGTTATCCTGCTGTCAGACAGACTCTTCTGTCAGGGAATTGAAGGCCGTTATATCAAAGCGACCAGACTTCATCGATAAAACGGTCATTTTACAGAGCCAAGTTATGCTGAGTTGCTGATGTGTAAGGTAAAGTTGAACAATAATCAAATGTAGCTACACTTACACTGATATTTATGGGTTTTTTTAGGTGGCCAAAATTCATTTTTGCTGCAGCTGTTGACAGCAGTACATCGTTCAGCTTCGGTGCCCGTAGATTTGGTTTATCAAAGATGATAGCGAAGCAACAAAGTACGAAAAATAATAACAGCAGGAACATCAGAAAGGACGCACCATCGTGTTTAACCATAGTTCTTTGAATGTTAGAGTTACGGCTGGAAAAAAACAACAGAAATAAAGAAACTTGCCTATTTTAAATATCTAACAACCGTGATTACTCGCCAGTTTCCTACCCAGAAGTGATTGTTGTTGCCCCCCAGTTTGCCCCCCACCTTGAAGAGGCAGTGTAACGAGCTTTAGTTACATCTGTAACTCCAAATGTGTCGTGTTTCCCGTCTTGATTGGCGCTGACTGACGGCATATTTGGCACACCTACCCTTCTTTGCTTTGACTGCTTGTAATTGACAGGGTGTTCGTCTTTTGTCAACAGTCGCTCAGCTCTGAAGGGTGACACAGTTTACTTTCAGCATAACAAGCTCTGGGCCTGTAAAACGAACCATGTGACCGTGGGCAGAGCAAGGCAGCCAATCAGAACAGAGAGAGGCAGCACACTGACGGTTGTTGTTGCGTGTCTTTCTGATGGCCGTTAGATCAGTTCATACTGAGGAAAGATGTCTAAAGTCTCTCCTCCTTAAAGTTAAAGTTATTGCGATCCTGTGCAGAGATCGTTACATCACCCTGCCCTAATTCTGAAAGCTGCAGATAATGAATCTGACACACGTGCGACTCCATCCCAAAAATGAATCTGATGTGGATGATGCGAGTCCTGAAACTAACGTGAGATCAGCTGATTGTCAGTGGTGTAACAGAGAGGAGCGCCCTCGCTCACAGATCATCTTTTGGTGGAGTTACGCTCGCTTCATGTTGCTTCAGCCTCTGGTCTGAAGCCGGCGTTCTCACCCAGGTGAGCGCTCACGTGCCAAACTTTTGCACCAGGTAGTACGCCAGCATAACGTTGTCTGTACTCTTAAAAATATCAAGTTCAGTACTCAGCCCCAGTGATCAGCTGATATGATGCTTGTCATTTTGACTCATGCATGTGGTATTGATCTATTGATACTGGTTCTGAATATTTGAAACAGTTTGAACTAGACTAGTGCTCGGAATTGGGCCGGTTTTCGCCTGTGACCTGCGACCGGCCGGTCAGTCTGAAATATGCCGATTGAAAACACCAGTCAAATTTCCAGCACACTGCATGATTGACATCATGTAATAGCAGCAGAGCACACACGCGCATGTGCAACTCACGGCTTGAGCGATGTGAGGAAGTGGTCCTCAAGGACACGCACTAGGACAACTGTAGAGTAAATGATTCCGGCCAGAGAATCAGGGTCGAGAGGATACTTTAATTTTCAGTGACAACAACAAACAAAGACAAACTGAAAGTCCACAAAGTTGACATGCTAACCGAATTAAACTCACTCTACTGTAAGTGAAACATGGGCGGCTTCTCACCTTAATTATTCACGCACACACATCAAAATAGAGAAGGAGAAAGTTGTTAACTGTCCGTGTTAAACTGAACTGCGGAGCTCTCACTGCTGCACTGTGCCACTTGAAACTGACGAGGCGCGTGTCCGCATGCTGAAGATACGCGTGTCTGCGCTGGCGGGCACGTCCTGAAGACCTGTGTGAATTTTCCACAAGAGATATTTTTACTTTTTTGTCCAGTCAAGAAATTACCCACAAATGCTATACACCAAGAATTATTATTTTATTTATCCATGTTTTTATTTATGTATGCCTTTTTACTTATTTATGTTAATACTGTACCTGAAGTTATATTTGAGCAAAAAGGAAAATGTTTCTTAAACTGTGTCACTGTTTGTGTTTGTGTTTGTTTGTTTGAGATGATTATTGAAAAGCTGGTTGTGTCTTGGTTAAAATGTTCTAATAAAGCACAGATAGAAAATATTGCAATATCTTGTGAGCTGTAAAGTGGTTTGAAAAATGAAATTGGAATCGGCCGTCCAAACACTCTGCAAATCAGAAATCGGGATCAGCCCGAAAAATTGTAATCGGTGCAAGTCTAGTTTGAACACTGATTTACTGCAGTATTGATACACCACTAGCTCCTCTCTGTCTTATTGTTAATGTTTCCTACAGTTTCTGCTCTTTGATAGAAACTAAGAAAAGGAGCAGAACTGATGTTCAGACCTTTATTTAACACTCAAGAGCTAGAGGGAGACCCTCAGTATCTGTGATGCTCAGCATGAACTAAGACATTGAAAGCAATCAATAAGCAAACAACGAATTGTTATACATACTAGGGAAGTTCCTGGCGACTAATTTCCCTGTCGACTAAACCAAAATTTTAGTCAAGACTAGTTGACTAGACTTAAAAAGGAAAACACTCAGAGAAACAGTCAAACTTATCACTATTTATAGTATTTGAAACATTGTCCCAAAACATATTGTGTGCATTCAGAGCCCTTTGAAGCCTTTAATCACCATCTTCAACAACCATGTTGAATTTTAAATGCTGCTGAAGTACGAGACACTTTGAGCCATGCGGTATGAATGTGACATGATGCAACTCAGTCAAAAGTTAACCACTAAAATAACATCTGAAATAAATAAAGTGCCTCTGAAATGTGGGGCACATTGAATCCTGCAGATTATCTGACAGAAATGATGCACTTCACTTTAAAGTTAATAAAACAACATGTAAATTATAATTAAATTCCAGCTGACATGAGGCATGTTGCTGCGTGCAGCATGAATATGAACCTGCACATTATCTGACAACTCTTAAAGTTAACAAATAAAATAGCGTCTCAAAAAGATTCATTGCTGCTGAATTCATTTTCTACATCAAAGTGCTGCCATGATATGATTTCGATTTGATGTGATTCAGAAGCCTGTGATCAATATGAGCCGATATTATCTGATCGTTTAACTCAGTCTGTTCCAGAAGAAGCTGCTGCAGCTTTATTTTACTTTTGGCCACAAAAGATAAAAACAACATAAACAATAAGTTCAGTAAAGTTAACTTTAATCTGACTCCACTAACACACAGGAAACAGCACATGGGATCAGTTAACCTTCAGGGCTTTCTGTCAGACAGACCTTTCTGTCAGAGACACCTTTCTGTCAGAGACACTTTCTGCAAGAAATCTTTTCATTTTAAGCCAAACCATCATATTTTTTATAAAACTTCAGGACTATTTGTCTCAGAGTCCTGGAGACAAACTTGTGTCTTATAGTCCTGAAGACAAACTTGTATCTTAAAGTCCTGAAGACAAACTTGTGTCTTAAAGTCCTGAAGACAAACTTGTGTCTTAAAGTCCTGGAGACAAACTTGTGTCTTAAAGTCCTGGAGACAAACTTGTGTCTTAAAGTCCTGGAGACAAACTTGTGTCTTAAAGTCCTGGAGACAAATGCGTGTCTTAAAGACAAACATCTCCAAACAGCCATAAAACAACAGGATCATTTAAAACAAGTCTCAAACTCAGCTCAGTAACGACTGTCAGGGTTCACAGACACAACTGTTGTTTTATGCTAGTCACCCATTATTAGCTTTAGCATGTTTACATTACATAAATTAGCCTAGCGGCTAGCAGACTTTTCCTCTACAAACAGTTGAACAGATGACATGTCTTATTTATACTTCTTCTTCCTCAGCGTTGGTTTCAGTCTCTGCGTCTCCTGACAGAACAGCTCGGTTGAATTTCAGCCTGCTGCTGTTTGACGCTGACACAGACTTTCAAAATAAAGGTGTAACCTAAAGATGATGATATAGGTCGATGTTTTCACTTTGTGTCGATGGTATTGGATCGTTGATCATAACTGATATTGATATATTGACACCCCTAGAAGCCATTCATAACAAACAGTAATAATAATAGTTTCACTGTACGTGATTCTGCTTATTACTCAACTACTTCCAAAAAGAAAAAATCATTTGATACAGAATATTGACTTAAATTGATTTGATTGATTTCATTAAGACTGTCTGTGATCAGAGCTGTGTCCTGTGACTGACCAATCAAAATTCAGAGATAGTTTGCTTCTGACCACCCCCCCCCCTCCCCTCCCCCCTCCTGTTTGGTTTTACCCAGAATGCCATCTGAGGCTCAGTCCCAGGAGCCTCGGGACAGAGGACCGGCCCCTCCCGTCACTCGGGCCGGACGCAGCGCTCAGCTGGCCAAAGCCGCCGCTACAAGCCCCGCCCCCGAGAGGCGGTCTCGTGGGCGACCTCGGAAAGATGGGAGCAGCAGCCGCTCTGTGCCTCCCACCCCTCCTCCTCCTCCTCCTCCTCCTCCTCCGCCACCTCCTCCCAAATCAAGGAAGAAGTAAGTGACAAAGCTGTGTGATGTGTCAGTGGTGATGTCACAGCTGAAACAACAAGCTGGTCGTCATAGTAACCTGCAGTGTAGGGTTTACAGGTTAGAGTCAGCGAGTGTGATTTGTTTTATTAGACTGATATCTTCACACCTTTTGTCCAGCAGAGAGAACTGACAGCTTTATGTTCACGCTGTGAAATCTAGGGCCTGATGGATTTTTGAAACCGATCATGAGGTGGGAAGAATTTCACTGATTATCAATATGTCGGCCGATACAGCAAATGTTTGAGCTGGAATGAGACAGAACTTTTCTGTGTGGACTGGTTTTACACCAATATGGAGGCTGCTGTCTTCATCTGAGAATTTAATGAGAAAATATTTAACATTGTTAGACAGTCAGCCAGTTCTAGAAATGAACTAGTAACCGGATTTGATCGATCCCTGGCTTTGCATGATGAGATATTAGCCCCGTATCCACCGAGCTGTACGGTTGCTTCAGTTCACTTTTTTTCTGTTCCCACAGTGTAAAGTTGTGGATGGTAGCAACAGAAGCGTTCCTTAGCGTCCCCATGTTTGGTCCCCCCTCTGTTGGGGTACCTAGCACACAGATCTGGTACTAAAAGGTGGAGCTAGAAACCCTGCAGTCTGATTGGTCAGTAGAGGACGCTCACTCTGGTTTTATGTAACCTCTGTTCATACATCAGTAAACTACAACTATAAAATGAAAGAGAAAAAAATAACTTCATTCACTGGGCCGACTGCCGGCAACTTTTAAGGTGGAACGTTAACTTGTAATGTTACTCAATGCATGAGTTGATGACGTGAATCCATCAGCACGCCTTAAATTTCACTGTGACAACTTTGACCATCACTTTAGTTTTTATATGACACACACTTTTAGTAATGACTTTAAAAATATAGATTAATTTGCCCGCATTTAAGAGGACTGTCTGAACAGACCGAGGGTCTAGGTACCATGTCTGAAGGGTTGCACTGTACTGAAAGTTTTCAGTGTGAACATGGCTTCTGTCAACCCTGCTAAAGGGGGTTTTACGGCACAAAATGGAGCCCCTAATGCACCAGGGCAACCTGGGCGGAGACCAGATGGTGGACACAATCTTTCGACAGCAAACCATGGATGTATAAAGGGACAGCGTTGCTCACAGTAATGGCTGAATAAGCGGCGCCACTAGGTAGCTCCCACCAGAGCAGTAAACTGTAATAACTGTAACTGTAATGCAACAGAATGGGAGGGTCATCCATTTTCCTCCAGTCACTCAGGGAGGATCAAGGAAAAATATCTGGAGCTTCAGGAAGGGTCACACTGCAGCCCCACCCCCTCCTGTTATAAATAAAGAACAGTCCCTAACACAGTCCCCTTTGCACTCACATTTTAATAGTGATGGCATCTCAAGGTGTTCAGAGTCAGACGGTGTGTTCAGAGTCAGACGGTGTGTTCAGAGACAGTGATCAGGTGTTCGCAGTGGGGGTGGCCTCATTTTAGCTCAGGTGAACCTGCTTCCTGTCCAACCCTTTGACCTGCAGTCACACCCCTTTCTGTGTTCTTCAGTCAGACCTACCACTGTCTGCTGTGTTTGATAGCTGTGTGTGTGTGTGTGTGTGTGTGTGTGTGTGTGTGTGTGTGTGTTTTGTGGTGAGCGAGACGTGTTGGAGAGGAAGTGGTAAAGTTGCATGCTGGGTAGTGAGCGGTGAGGAGGAGGTGTATGCTGGACTGAGTCTGTTCCGGGTTTTACCTCCTGCTGCAGTGTGCGCGCACACACACACACACACACACACACACACAGACACTCACTCACACTGCTGGATCCTGGAGTGCGTGAGTGTCTCTCTCAGGCTGTGATGTCATCATGTTTACCTGAACACCACAGAGACAGGTTGTCTTTACCTGAGCTGGACAAACCCTGAAGCCTCAGTCAGAGAGAACAGGTAAATGACAGGACTGCTTCAGGCTCTGTGACACACAACCAGTCGAATGATGCGTTCAATGCCTCATTTGACTCCTAAAAATGATCCGTCACGTGCTGCCTACTTCCACCTTTGAAGAATGTTAAATAATAATGCCTTTATTCATATAGCACCTGTCATGGCAGGAATACAAAGTGCTTCACACATTAGTCAAAAAAATGCAGAATCAGAAATGATTATTGATCCTGGCAGAGTCCTGCACAGGTTAAAGCTCAGCACCAGACGTTACATGGTTGGATGATGGATGGATGATGGATGGATGGTTGGATGGATGGTTGGTTGGATGGATGGATGATGGATGGATGGTTGGATGATGGATGGATGATGGATGGTTGGTTGGATGGATGGAGGATGGATGATGGATGGATAAATGGATGGTTGGTTGGTTGGATGGATGGAGGATGGATGATGGATGGATGGATGGATAAATGGATGGATGGAGGATGGATGATGGATGGATGGATGGTTGGTTGGATGGATGATGGATGGATGGATGGTTGGTTGGATGGATGATGGATGGATGATGGATGGATGATAGATGGATGATGGATGGTTGGTTGGATGATGGATGGATGGATGGATGGATGGATGGTTGGATGATGGATGGATGATGGATGGATGATGTTTTTCATGTGCCAGAAGGTTTTATTAAAGGTTGATAAATGTGTCTGATTGAAATCCTGCTCGTTCAAAGGTAGTGTAATGAAGGACTGAAAAACTTTCAGATATTTCTTATAGGGGAGTCTTTGTTTCCCTGGAACAAAAAAAACAACAACATCAAAATAACAACAAGAACAAAATAAACAAAAACAGCAGAAAAAGAAAAATCATTGGATTCGGTCCAGGATTTATGAGTCGATAACATATTGTCTCAACTAAGAATCTGTATCCATCAGAGATTTACTCTGACTGTAAAGTGAAGTTACTTAAAGCAGCTGATTTCAAGCCCAACGTCAGAACAAAAAGCGGACCAGGTCAGGTCCGAGCATCAGTTACCATGGAGATCGAGCCAGGTTAGAGGAGAGTCACCTTCACATCTGACGTCAGACTCAACAAACCTCACTAACACGCTGAGGAGGCTCTGTGGTTCAGCCTTCAGGTCAGAGGTCAGGTGGAAGCTGTGAACAGGTGTAATCATGAGCTGTGAGCTGAACGTGATGTCAGAGCTGTTGTATCATAATATCATCATCATGACATCATCATTGACATCAGCTGTTTTGACATTTAAAGTTACAGTCGCACATTGCCTGTTTGTAAAACAACTTTTTCATAACAAGTTCCCACTGTGCAACTGACCAGGTGTGTTTCTGTGTGTGTGTGTGTGTGTGTGTGTGTGTGTGTGTGTGTGTGTGTGTGTGTGTGTGTGTGTGTGCAGGGGGCGGAGTCGAGGCCGGGCCCAGGTAGAGGATGAAGAGAGCATGGACGCCACGGAGAAGAAAACCCCCCAAAAGACAGGTGTGTTTCTACCTGATGTTCTGTTGATGACTTCATTCAAACCATCAGAACTTTATTCAAAATTGTGCAGCAGATCCCAAATCTTATAGGACACCATTTAAAACGATTTTAGACAGAATAAATAAATAAGTATGGATTTGAAATAATTCCTGAAATAAATAAGGAAACAAATATATACATACATAAATAATACAT